GCTACACAGTTTTGAAGTGGTCTGCATGCAAAGCCAAAACTAGAAAAGAAGGAAAACAGTAGTTTAAAGATTTCGAAATACCAAGTAAAGAGTGAGGGTGTAGGTTTTTGTGGAGCATTAGGCAGTTCTCGTTCAAATGAGTTATTTATTACCTATTTACTCTTTCAAATTATGTAGACCAGTGCATGGACGGCATCATTTGGATTTACCATGGCTTTCGGTGCCTTATTCTCTAAGACATGGAGGGTTCATCGCATTTTTATGAACAAACTTAAAAAAACGGTAAGTTATTGAATATCAATCAATCGGATCATTTATTTTTCTCTCAAAGTCACGAGACGACCACGATTAAGAAATTTTGAAGCTAAGAAGCGGAGGGGTCATCTTGGAGTGTATTTAGCCTCTTCCGGATGAAAAATATATAATGAATGACGATGACGATGATTACAAAACCAGGTATCCTTCCGAATTCTATGAGGGGGGAGGGGGGGTTTAAAAAATCATTTCCTTGCCTCCATAATTCTGATGAGCATAAGCCTAAGATAAATGTACCTTAAAGATGAATACAATCAGCCCAGGTTAAAAATAATACGAATTTCATAGGAGAGCACGGCTTATTTTGAGCAACATTTATGATTTATTCAATCCCCTGCTTTAGGTGATCCAAGACTACCAGCTAATCATTGTGGTAATTCTTCTCCTGATGATTGACGCCTGCGTCCTTTCCACCTGGCAAATACTGGACCCCATATATACCACTTCTAAGACCTTCCCAAGGAGGGTAAGCCTCGTCTATTTCTTTCCGTACGACTTCATTATGAGTCTTTTTTTATATTAATGGGACACTTTTTTCACGTCATGAATTCAAGTTTGAGTAAAACTTAAAAGTAAAATTGAATGCTCCATATATTTTTAGCATTGACATTGCGCCCAAAGTAAAAGGTTGTTACCTGAATAATTAATTCTGATGTTTCAAGATGATTTTAATACGTTTTCTATAAATCCTTTTTACATATGTACAATGCAATACATCTGCTTTGTTCTTCTTGTCCATGTGGAACAGAGACAACTAGTAGTCCAGTTTAAGCCAATACTTTACCTTTTAAAGGAGTTCGTAATTTTGCTTCATTCAGAGTAATATAATTATAGCAAATAGAAGTATCACAGATGACAAACGTAATGGGCGTAATTATCAAATATTTCAGATAGACCAAGACGGTGACATTGCCATTTACCCATACCAGACCTTCTGCACTTCAAGACATGAAAACTTATGGACAGGTTTGCTATATGGTTACAAAGGCTTCCTTCTGCTATTCTGCACCTACCTGGCATGGGAAACTCGCAAAGTCCATATGCCAGCGCTAAACGATTCCAAGCAGATCGGCTTTGCTGTGTACAATGTGTTCATTCCTTGTGTCATTATCATTCCTATACTGAACCTACTGGGGAGTCACAGCGATGCAGTGTACTTGTTAAGCACTTTGCTGTGCCTTTTCTGTACTACCATCACTCAGTGCCTGATCTTTGTTCCAAAGGTAACTACAAGGAGCTACCTACTTTTCGCAATCGAAGGCAGGAGGCAAAACCAAAATTGTAAAAAAAGTTTCCAATTATAGTGAATTTATATTATGGAGGGATTGGATACACTTCAAATGGTTAAATAATCTCATTTCAAGCGGCACATTAAGGTACACTGTACCGTCAACAGAAAAGTCCGGAGACGGAGCGTGGCACGTTCTTTACCTTCAGGAGGTCATACGCTACCGTTTTAGACCAGTTGGGACTTTTCACCAAGTCTACTTTTTGTGAAATTATTCCAATGTCGCTTTCTGTGAGTGTCGAGGATAGCAACAGAGTCTAGCAAGTATTATGCGTTGGCGTTACATATTAAGTCTCAGAGATCTGACAAGAATGAAGAATTCGAAGTATATGCAGGGTGTATAAAATTAAGTATTTTTCTTGCACTGCGTAATGATGAATCATCACCATCACCGCGGTTAAGCAACTCTAATTTCAGGCAAAATTAGTATTCCACGAGAGGCTAAGTACCTCCTCAGGTTTCGAAGAAAACTTGCTCTGACTGGGTCAAAATAGCTCAGAACTTCAAATTGCCTTGTAGAGAGTTACTATAAATATAAACAGGTTCAGGTTAATTTAGGTAACTTATTTGATTATTTGACAGATTTTTGCGATGAAACGCACAAATGGTGACCCGTCTAGTTACGAGAAGGGTTCACTCTCTTCTGGCAGTACCGTCGACAGCAAAATTTGCCCATCATCTTCAGCAAAAAGCCTTGATCTTAATTACAAAGCGGAGAAAACAACCTTTCCACCACATGCTGGTTAAAACATCTTTACATTTTGGTGAGTATTTCATATGAGCCCAAAA